CGAAGAGGCGCAGCAAGCTGAGTTGTTCGCGAGAGAGGTGCTTCAACGAGGGATTGTGCGGCTTCGGATGCGAAGCTTAATCGTGGCAGGGGGGTTGTCGGTGATCAAGGAAGATCGCGCTAGGGCAGAGGCGACGAAAGAATCGGGCTATAAGGCAGAAAAGTGTTTGCCACACAGAAGAACCAGGTGCAGGTAGAGGAAGAGAACGGAAAAAAAAAAGACCCGAACCTCTACGTGCGTTGCTCTTGTACATAAGAATAAGAAGACGATGGATCATGATGAATAGAGCTCCCCAAGGCTCTGATGCCATATCAACTTTTGAGAGAATTGGCTCGATCTTTTTTCCTTTGCTTTCATTCCAATAAATAACAATTTGTACAATCTATTTTAGGTAACCTAATAAGACATATTCCTAATCAAAATATTTAGCTATAAGGAAAGAGTATGTACAATTAACAAGAGAGGAAAATCAGGAGCAATTTGAATAAAGAAACTCTTAATTCGGCCTTATTTTTGTCATTCTTGATTGATAAGAGTCTTTGATAGATAGTCAATGAAGGAACATTTTTGGTCATCTTGCAGAATGTGAATTGATAAGTTGAGACAGCAAAAAGATGTATTTACCCTTAATACATTAATTGTAAGTATCTTTTAAGTATGCCATCTTATTAAACCAGATGTATGACCAAAAAAAAAAAGAGAAAAATTTTTATGCTTTCTTTTAGAAGAATAAGCCAAGCTGTAATGAGACTTGAGGCAATTAAGGTTGTGGACTAATAAACGCTTTCTCTCAATTTACAATTTATGGGAGATCTGAAATAAATGCTGTCATATCAACATTACATAATTTTTTTTCACTGAAATAGAATTTATGTATTACAAAGAAGAAATTGGGTCAAAATTCTGATCTAAATTAGTTATATTTGCAATCATATCAAAGAAATTTTGATTAGTATAAATCTCATCCTGATCAACTTTGCACTAGACATACAAACCTAATTTTCGCCGACAAACAATCTTGGCATCTACTAATTTTATCCACCAGCAAAAATAAAAATCTATGAAAAACTCCATAATTTAACTCCATAAGTATCTAATAACACTAATTTAGATTAATATGAAACTAAAATTTGAAAACAAAATGCTTAATCTGCCAAATATATATATATATATATATATATATATATATATATATAAACAAGATACACCACAAGCTATGCCAGCTCAAATTTGAAAACAAGGAGAAAAAGTGTGAATTTCCCAACTCAATAAGAAACAGAAATAAAATAGCATTTAGGATGGAAATAAATTTCACAAATGACAAAAATTGATAATAATCATTACAAAAAAAATCTATATAAAAGTAACATAGAATTCATCATAAACTACAAATCCAGGTTTAACAATGGCAAAATCAAATCAGATCTGAATAACTGCAGTATTCATATAAAACATAAGCCAGAAGATAACCTTTTTAATCACTGTTTCTTGTAAGCCATGAAAATATTAAGTAGAATCTCAGGGAGTGTACAAGAAAGACAACATAGAATCAAAATTTAAGCCATGGTTAAACGAAGGAATTAAAACAAGAACCCAAATTCAAATTTAAGTCTTATCAGATAACATGAATCAGGATAAAGAAGAAATCAAGATATTCAAAAATAGTTCATGATCAAAAAATACGAATTAAGGTCACAAAACCTGATATTCAAATCAATAGAAATCAAGGAACCTCAAGTCACCAAGAGCACCGAATTGCAATTTAACAGCATAAATGAACCAAGTACTAATTGTTGCAGTAGTTAGAGACAATAATTAAAAACAAATTTAATGGTTAACTCTACCGAAATTTATTAAAATAGTAAACTCACTGAAGATTCATAAACTTTGAAAATTCACTTCTAAGTCTCTCCACAAGCCTTTTGCAAATTTACCATAATTAAGTTAACTTGATAAAAATACTAAAAATTTAGGGATAAACTAAGAAAAATTGAATTCACCTCAAATTCAGTGTAATTGATCCTAAAATAACACAATTATGAATTATTATGTATCCAGTACATTATCTAATGTGATTTGTTAAGTATTAACTATTGGTTGCCAGTTAGTCATACATTAGCAGCTAGCTTGGAGATAAAACAGCATGCAAGGCCAGCTTCGGAATTAACTCTCGAGGAAACTATCAAGCTCGAAGTGCAAAGTGTTGTTTTACCTTGATTCAAGCGTGGTATCAAGGCCTTAGTGACATTGTAATAAATTTTTAAGTTTGCATTAATACTATATGCTAAGGAGTGATGAACACAAAATAATGAGTAAAATATGGTATAAATAATTCAACTAATTACATAACAGAGATAAATTTTAAAAAAAAACGATGCATAAAGTTTTGAAAAATTGTAAAATACAATTTAGATCGTTCAATGTGATTGGCACTTCTAATTGTGCTTGCTGCAAGAAAAAGATCAATTGAAATAATTAGATCCAACAATGAATCATAGTAGGGGGCAAACATCGTACAACAGAATGTGCTTCATCTATTGTGAATTAAATAAACCATACAATACAATGAATATCGTGCTATATGATGATCCAGAAACTCATATCTTCAATATATTATTCAATCAAGCAATTATTTAATGATACAGTTCGCACAAAAAGCTAATTCCTAATTAAACACATTTTCTTTTCTTTTCTTTTCTTACCTTTTTCCTTTTTTCTTTTTTCTTTTTTTGGAAGGTAGTTAAACACATTTTCACTCTGTTAATGATTATACCCATTGGTATCACAAGTAAACAACAAATAACAAAATGATCAATTGGAGAGCATAATATCCAAATGTTCAAGGAAAGGAACAAGAGAAAGCTTCAAGCGTTCCTCGTCATGTCAAGTCTCCTCTTAGCTTTTTGTAAAGCACACTTTTTATTCTTACTTTACAAGAATTGGTTTTCTATTATATATATTACAAACATGGTATTTTTATTGTGTATATCAAAGTTTTAGGCAATAGCTTTGAGTCAACTACAGAGGTTAAGAGACTTTTGGTTAGATTCTAACAAGAGGTTTTATAACTTGGTTGTGCTAGAATAGTAGGTTACCCTACACACTCATCTCGAAGTAGGAACATTATGATCTAGTGTGAAGGACTAGCAGTTGCTTGCCTCTCGCTTTGAAGTAAAGTGTAGGGCATATCTCCATTACCTACTGAGAATGTATGTGTAAGATAGTTTCTCCACCAACTCATAGAGTGAAGGAGAGGTACCTTGTGATGACAAGCTTAAGTGAGGAACCTAGTGTGGCGGCTAAATACAACAAAAAATTGGCTGCATATAATTAAACAATAACTTACTTGCACATAATCTTTGGTTATCAACTATATACATTCATGCTAATGTGTTGCTCTACTTAATTAATGTTGTATATGCTAAGTAGATGAGCAAGCATAACCATTATGCTTAAGTAGTATATTAACCTCTTTTATAGCTTCTTTTATTTATTTATTTTTTTTGTCAGCATCATATATATTTTTAGACACCTATGTATTGGGATAAAAGAACCAAAATGGTTCTTCAACTATTTACAAGGGGAGCAAAATGGCCCCAAACTATGTAAATGATTAATTTAGTTCCAAGCTATTTAAATAGGGACTAAAATAATCCCCAGTCATTTTAAATGGAGACTAAAACAATCTCGCCCAGGTATCATTTTAGTTCATATTTAAATTGACTAAAAATAAATTGATCTTTTGCATACTTTGGGATTATATGTTCCCTACAAATAGACATGAGACCATTTCGCTAAATTTTTATCTCAAGAATAATCTTACATACTATTACTAGTGAAAATATTTTCGTTAGTTTTATTATTCATTAAACACGGTTGCATCTTTATGTTGCTACTTGTGTGAAATTGGCTCAATTTAATGTTTGTGTAGTTACAGCTAATACTATGTACCATCCTGCATAACATGGACATCTCACACTTTAACATATCACATCTTGAAATATTTCTCTCCTCTTTTACCTCTTCTCTCAACTCTCTTTTTGTTTCATTTCCTTTTCCTCATCTTTCTCTTGTACGTCAAAGACACACAACCACCATTAACAAAAGAAGTGAGGAAGAGAATTTTAATTCCTTATCCCCCCAACCTTGTGTCGCAATCCTTTTGCAAATACACATATGGTTAGAGATTGCTAGCCCACACTCCCAACTAAATATCAAGGAGAAATTTCCCCAATCTTGAAATGAGCCAAACTTAAGTAAACAATTTTAAAAATCTAACCAGACCCCTTTCAAACACTTTTTAAACTATAATTACTAGATATGTGGATTGTTGCGTAAAACATGAAACATCCTTTCCAAGTTTTTACTATTGTAGTTCAAGCTTTTGGTGAAGAAAACAGTAAAGGATCACAAATTTGAGAGTGCTTAATCAAATCACTTATTAATTTGATAATTCACATTGGATTTCCACATCAGTAATATTCAACTAAAATGATTCACCAAGAAATATACTCAGTCCACAAAAAGTTTTCTTGTATTTTTCTAAGTCGATCTGTATAAAAAAGCATTATTCTTTTAGAAACCCCAGCCTAAGCTAAATTCTAGATCAAAAATCCAAAAGCAACCAAGGTATTTTTATGCCTTCCAGGGTAAAGGGACATTCAAATATTAATAAAGCAACACTATAGGTACCAAAAGAGAACTTAGATTTAATCTACTTTCTCATTCCTCAATACAACAAATGGATATTACTTCCTCTATATGAATTCTAATTTCAAAATTATCTTTTTTCCACAACGAATCACTAAATAACAAACATTTCCATATAATATAATCAGGAGTGCAGCATCTTTCAACCATTTGCACAATAAAGCCAGAAGCCTTCTCAAATTCTCCATTCTGACAAAGATAACAGATTAAAGGACTATAACTACCAACATCAGGCGAGCATTTCCTGCTCTCCATCTCCTTAAGAAGCTTTAAAGCACTCACAAACCTACCTGTGTCACAGAAGCATTGAATCAAAAAGTTGAAAGTCAAAGCTAATGGAAAGAATCCCTTCTCCATCATCGCATTCATCATATGAAATGCTTTCCGCACTTCTCCTTGTTTGCAGAGCCCTTGGATTAAGCTAGCATAAACCAGAACGCTTGGCAAATCTCCTTCGTTGACCATTCCCTCATAAACCAACAAAGCTTCTTCAATCCTATCCTCAGTACAAAAACTAAGTATCCTCAAGCTCCTCTCTTTTGCTCTAGGAAAAGAACTTCCCATTCTTTTATGGAGAAACTCATAGGCTTCTTCCATTCTTCCTTCCTTGTAGTACCCATAGAGGATATAGTTATAAGGACTTATGTAGTTGACATTCTCTCCCCATTGTTCTTCCATCAAATTCAATAACTTTAATCCATCTCCAACCCTTCCTGCCAAGCAAAATCCTCTAATCAAAGTGTCATATGTATTGAACCCTGGACTGATGCCATCCATCTCCATCTCTCTGAAAAGATCAATTGCAGAATCCATTTTCTCTGATTCACAGAAACCAGAGATGAGAACATTGTAAGTCTGTGTATTTGGGAGGCACCCCTTCCTCTCTATTTCCCTCATAACCCTCCTTCCAACTTCTGGCTTCGCCACTTCACAATATCCTTTTATCAATGTATTATAAGCTACAATGTCAACAACACCACCCCTCTTTTCCACTCTCTCAAAAATCTCCATTGCCTCCATGGCTCTGTCATGGCCACAAAGCAGCTCCACTATCTTAGTCACTGTAATGGCATCAGGAACAAACCCAAAATCAAAACTTTTCTCCAACATGACTAGCGCCTGCACCAAACTACCCTCTCTACAATAAGCCGAGATTAATATACTGAAGGTGACATCGCTCGGGTTGTCCATCTCTGCCATCAAGCTTCGAGCCCTCCCGACCTTCCCATTCCTGCAGAGTGCATGGATAAGAGTGTTATAGATCACTGGGTTGGGCTTCAAACCAGTCTTTTTCATTAATGTGAGCAGCTTAAATCCCTCTGCAATGCGATTGGTGCGGCAGAGACCCTTCATAAGAATACCAAATGTGTGATCATCTCCGCGGCCTTTCATCTTCTTCCGGAAGAAATGTCTGCTGTGATCAATGTTGTCGACGACGAGGAGATCGAGGATAGAGTTGAGGACCTTGAGCGAAGGTGGATTAGGCAGGTTGAACAGGTCAGGCAATTCATCGAACAGTTGGAGGGCGCGGTGAGTCATGCCAGCGCGGCCTAGTTCACGGAAGAGGGCGACGAGGGTGGCTTCGTCGGGAGATGAGGGGAGGTTGGAAAGGACTTCGAGGGCGGTGTCGAAGCGGCGGAAGGAGAGAAGAGAGCGGATGAGGGCTTGGTAGACGGAGGGTGTCGGAGTGAAGGAGGGGAGAGCGAGAGCCCACCGAAAGGTGCGGAGGGAGAGGGCGGCGGATTTCTGCCGGAGGATGATATCGGCAACATCATCTGGCGATGGGGGCTCGCCTGATAAGATAGAGGCCGAAGAGCTCCGGCAGAGAGAGTTAGCCTTTGGGATTGGGCAAACTACGGGTTTTCGTCTATGAAATGGAAGAGCGCGAGAGGGAGAGAGCATGAGTTCTGCTGCGTGAAATTCTTGTCCCGATGGGTCATGGCGGCCGGCGGCGGCGTAAGGCTATGTCTGGTAAAATGGTAATTTTGTTTCGTTTAGTTTATTTGTTTGTTCATGTAGTTAAAAAAATCGTATATTTATTTGCATTTTTTTGTACATTGGCAATCGATATAATATGTGCGACTTCATGTCATACACGTCGACATAATAAGATAACAAGGAAAAAATTTTAGATCAAAATCAAATTATATCAGATTTATAAATTTTTTAGAAAAATGTAGTATATGATAAGGAATTAAAACTTATAATATATTTGTCTTAAAATAAATTCAATAATAATAATTTTTTCACATATATATATTGTTATAAAACATTAATAAAATTTGACCACAGAGGTATACTGGAAAACTGTCGGAGTTGTGAGCCATGCTGTCGTGGTTGGTTATGTATGCTTTTATGGAGAGCTATGGTAACGTCATTAGGTCGCAGAGGCGGAGTTGAGAGATATATGAGTTGTAGGCAACACAGGTCATGGTTGGTTATATAGGTCGTAGTAATGAGCTGTGATTACGTTCATAGAACGAGGGGCCGAAGTTGGGATATATATGGTATATACATGAGTTGTGGACTATGTAGACTGTGGTAGTGATAAGTGATTATGTTCGTAGGTCGCAAGGCTTGATGTCGAGAGCTGCACGAGCTATGCATCACATAAGTCGTAGTTGGTCACACAGGTCGTAATGGTGAGTCATGATGGTCGTAGTAGCCAAAGATAGGAATTGCACGAGCTATGAGCCATGCCGGACATGGTTGGTCACGGGAGCTATAGACATGTAGACACGTAGGCCACAGAGGTCTGAGTCGTGAGCTGCATGTGTTGTAGATTTCTTAGGTTATAATTGGTTATGTAAGTCGTAGTGGTGAGATGTGATGACGTCCGTAGGTCACAAAAATCGGAGTCATGAGACACACGAGCTGTGGACACTTAGGTCATAGTTGTTCACATAGACATATTGATGAGTTGTGATGACGTCCGTAGACCACAAAGGCCAGAGTCGTGAGCTGCATAAATGGAACCTTAAGAGTCCATAGAAAGTCACCGTCTTCGAGGTACATTATTACACCATCTTCAGGATGCGTCATTGAACCATATGTGAGGTTCGTTGTTGTACTATCATTTGGGATGTGTTATTGTCCTAACAAGTTGACTTGACAATTAACTTGCTAAGTTCGCTAGCCGAGTTGGATTGTGAGTGTGTTGATTTGATGAGCTCTAACTTTCATAACCCATATATACTATGTATATTAGGGATGACATAACATAAAGCATTGGGATATGATGTCACATTATAGCTCTTTGCATATTTGCAAGCACTTCTTGTTTTTTTTTCTTTTTGTTAAATTGTGTACCATTACAAAAGGATACTTATAAATATGCAAATTAATGTGCTTTATGAGGTATTTTTCATTCCAATTATGTCAATTTTATGCTTTTTTGTTTGGTATTTTTATGTCAATATATGCAGTATATAAATAAAGCATAGCATATGGAGGACATATTTAGTTTAAGTATTGACGTACTAGTGCATGAGACATAGCGACGTCGCATTTAAATGATAGTGCCTCAACATTAATGGAGTGACTTCTCAACGCTCGAAGAGGCTCATTTGAATTCAAAATCCAAAAAGTCGGACACTACAATGCTAGAAACTATTTTGAATTCAAAATCCAGAAAGCTGGACACTACGACGCCAAACATTAACACTCCAACAACCATACAACAGTGCCCTGACGCCCTAAAAGCAGGGTCATATCGCCCCCAAGCCCTACTTCGAATATCAGACTTCATGAAAGGTGATGTTCGGTTCCAATGTCATCGTGCTCGATATTAGCGAAAAAACGCAATATAGTGGCGCCTCAGTGTTGTCCACGGGCACATATCAATTTTGGTGGTTGGAATGAATTATGTATAAAAGTAGGTTTTAAGAGAATAGAGGGTGCCATAAGATGTACTTTCTTGTCATAGAGCCTAGATTTTCATTTTCAATATGTGGATGGTAAGTGGAAGTGTGAAGCAATCAAAAAAGAAAATCCAGCAGGGAGATGCCATCCCTTATCTTTTCTATTTTCTTATTCTTGTATTACTTGTTTTGATCTTTAATGAAATTTATGTTTATGTTTTCAATCATGCATAATCGTTAGCTCTTTACTTCATTAGATTGGTTTATTAAATCTAAGTAATCCATGTTAGATTCATGAGTATATGAAGGTTTAAGTTAATGCTTTAATTTTCCATGCATATTTTACATTTGAACAGGCTATTTAAACTATTATAACTCATTGTAATTTAGTACTATCAGAAAAAGAATGTGCACATAACTAGGCTAAAGAAAGGTGTTTAGTGGAATAAGAATATTATCATTAAATATTTGCAATTTTATTGGAAAATGTGAAATTATTAGAGTATTTGCGGGGTTAAAATAATTTGATATAATATGAAACTACAGTACTTGTTATATCTCATAAGAGAATAAAAAGTATGAGGCTACAATTATTAATATCAATAGAAGAATCATTTAGAGGAACTTGATTTGGATTAAATCAATTCAAGGGCTTTAGCTTTTTTTACTTTAAACTAGGATTTTAGACTCTTTTTCAAAATAAAAAATTAAAATCATTTGAACGAAATTTAAGATTTGTAGACTAGTAATTAAAATTATCTTTGAAAAATAACAAGTTCCATGTAAGATTGATAACTCAAATTAAGAATCTAAATATTACTTGATTGAAACATATAATTGTATGATTAATGTGTGCATTATTGTATGGAAGATCATACACACTAAAATATTTAAAATATACCAAATGTTTGGGGAGGAGTCTCTCATCTCGGAGGCTCCTCTTCTCACTCTCTCTTTCAATCTTTTTCTTTCTCATTCTTGTTCTCCATACTAGAATAATTTGACATAAACCACGAACATATCTGAGTTCAACATCTTGAAAGGTGGGAAAAGTGTGGGCACATGTCATAAATATGAAGTCATGTGTAAGTATATGCAGAAGAACAACAAAGATCATACTATGAGAAATTTCATTAGAATATATACTGTATTTTATCATTAAATCTTTATTTTTTACTATTAATATTTTATCCTTTGAAGTCTTCTACCCTTGATTTATTTGTTATTTTTCTCATTTTTTTCTTTTTCATTATTTACTTTGTATCACAAAATATTTTTGATATCTTGGAGAACTCATTTTATTTATAAATTAGGATTTTTTTTCCTTATAAATAAGTTCCCTTAGAGGAAAAAAAATTCCTTGACTTCTTAGACAATATTTAGCTCAATAGTCCAATGTTATGGACAACCTTGGAGAAACTCTTTCTAAAACATTACTCAATCAAATAAAGGATGATACCAATTAACCTAGAGATTGAAAATCACAAGATCTCGATCTAGGTAAAGTTAAAAAATTATGATGACTACTCCTTATAGAAGAACTACGGCCCCAAAGTAATGGATAGTCCAAATATAATGAAAGCTTCTCAATTCCTTTATAACCGAGTTATACTATAATGAAGTTATTGATCTACACACATAAACAAGATGGAATTTTTTTTATAAAGAAACTAAGTTCATTGAAAACACAATTCAACAAAATAAAAGGCTGAAAAAAATAATAGCAAAAAATAAACTGTCAGTTTATGAGATTATTCTATGAAGTGAGCCTCCCAAGATGAAATCTTGTACATTAGCCAAAAAGCCCACGAGATTATTCCTTCCATGAGAGATAAGAGCCCTCGGTTGATGCATAGTTAGTGCAAAGTGTAATACACCACTCATCTCATATTAAACAATTTTGAATTGTATTTTGAAAAAAAATCATATCTAATGAATTCTTTTCTCAGACCAAGGAAATATACAATTGTCTTATAGAGACGAATGATGCATAATTTTATGTTTATCATTCTATTACTATTTTGTAATTGCATGTCAAAAAAATTAAAACAATGGGGAACTATGTGTGTGTGTGTGTGTGTGTGTGTATACACCAAAAAAATACTTGTCAAGTTCTTTGGTGCTCAGTTCACCTAGCAAGTTGACCAATCGAGTTGACATGTCAAATTGATTTAGTGAGTTGACTAATCAATATTTACTATGCTGACTTTTATAGTTGACTTGACAATTTAACTATTAGTGGACCTCACGAGTTGATTAGCTGAGTTCACATGCTTAATTGACCTTCTAAGTTAACTATTGAGTTGACTTGTCGATTTCACCTGGTGAGTTGATCGGATGTGTTTTAATTATTTAATATAGCTATGAAGGATGACATGACATAAAACTGTGCGACATGACAGTAAATTATGAATCTTTACATATTTTTATGTACTTGTTTATTTATTTTTATAGCCAAGTTTTATACCAGCGCAAAATAACACTTTAAAATGTATAAAAAATGGTCAAATGTTTAAATAGGAGAGAACTCTCTTTCCTCCTCACTCTCTTTTCTCCATCTTCTTTTCAATACTTGTAATATTTGAGCATAGCCCATGGACATATCTAGTTTAGAAAAAAAATATTTTATTTTCGATTCATATGGATTTATGTATCGAACACTAAACTTTAATTTTTACATTTTTAACTTTCTAATATTTTTTTATCACATAAGAAAATTATTATTATTAACTTTTTAAAAACTGAAAATACATATTTTTATGCGTAGGTAAAGTGATATTAATGTAAATATCAAAATATAGTTGTTAGATAGATAAATACATAAGAATTTTATGGCATCTATGTAAATCTTCCTTCATTTTTTTTTGTTTAGAGTTTGAATAACTAGCTAGCTAGACAACTACAAAAGTACATAGTTTTCCATATGGGTAAGTCAAGCACGATAGACCCATTATTTGATGGGATGAGATGAGACATATGATATTATGTCAATTAATTCATATAAAGTAGTTAGGTGTGTAATTAATAGAAGCTAAATAAACCCACAAACTTTACACTTAAAATTAGAGGGCTCGTAATGGTCTTTAAAAGAGGTGGCAATTTGAGAGTTTAAGGAAGCATTGCTGTGAGGATGACCGACCGGTACTAACCAAGCAACTCACTAAAAAGCTCGCCTTGAGAGCACCTGAATCACTAACCAATAGAAAGCCAACTCGACACGGAAGTTTTTCTTGCAGCAGGGCCGACCTGACGAAATGGTTGTTTCCCCGTAGCATGCATCCTCGACTGTCCAATTATGATAAAAAAAACTTCTCGCTAGAAGTAGGAACTTTAAGCCCACTAAGTACAAGTGATAAATCCAAGTCGGTCGAGTCCCATTAATCAAGATAATCGATCGAGTTGGCCAATCTAGCTTAATCGACCAAGCTCAATAGATCTAGCTAGGAAGACCAAACCAAAAAACAACCATATACTAACGAGTTGTCGATTATTAAATACCTGAAATACACAATTTAACCCCATTCAGAAAGGCGCTCAAATCTAACATCACTTGTACTAAATTTTCTATAAATAAAAGTAGCATTGAATGAAAATGGTTGCACGATTTTTACTATTCATCCTTGGGCTTATAGCTCCACCTTGTCTCTCTTACTACATTTCTACTCTCACACTCTATTTCATGAGTATAATTCATAGACAAATTTGAATTCAGCTGTATCAGAACAACCATAAACATATTTTAACATATTTAAATTTGGTGAACCCAAACAACTTATATATTCTAAAGTATGTGCAATCAAAATATAACCATAGAAAAATTATTAAAATATATAAAAAAATATTTATCTTCTTAATAGTCTCGACCAATCTAATTAGTGTGTACCCACCTTAATTTTTTTATTATATATGGGCCAAGGCCCACAGCATTCCAAAAACAAAAAAAAAAAAGTTAAAATAAAAAAAAATCTTCTTCATGATCCCATTAAAGTAATAAACTAAATGATTTCACGAAGACTTTGTGAGTTAGGCGTTAGGAACGCGTCAGTAGCAACAGCAGTCTAGTGGAGAGTAGATACGGTATGACACGGTTAGACCCGATTGACTGACCCGCTAATCGAATGTCTAACAAGTGGGGAGGCGGAAAGTGCAGTTCCCCCGCAGGTTGACTTTAGTCAACTCCCCGTCTCCTTGGCCCAGCCCGCCCAGAACCTAACGCGGACCACAAACCTAAAGATAAGATGGGGACCTCTCACCGCAGCACGAAGATGGATTTTTTTTTTTTTTATGACTTACATATTCATCACAAAAATTTTATGTATTTACAGAGCTAACACCTAAGCTTTTATTTTTTACATATGTATCACCTTTCCTATGCATCAGAATGCATGCTTCGCTTTTTAAGTGCTTAGGGTGGGGCTTTTGATGTGATATGAATGATTTGGGGGGGAATAAATGTTAAAAAGCAAAGTTTAGGTGTTAGGCATGTAAATTCATAAAGATGGAGTGGTATATATGTAATAATGTAAATGACCCCTTTTTTTATTATTGTGTAGTTCCGATTCTTGTCATTAGTTTGTAAGATGGAATTATTAGATAGTGATGTATTGCCTTTTTTTTAAATTAATCATACATTTATAGTATGAATTTATCATATTATATATATTTTTATTTCGTCATATATATATATATATATATATATAATTTTAATATTTTATTTTAAACTTAATGAGAAATATTTGATTTTTTCTTATATAAATTCTATTTCTAAAGTAAAGTAATAAGGTAGATGAGGTAAAATTAAAGTAATATGTTTGAGTTTAGTGTAAAAACTCAAACGTACACTAAACTCAAACATAATTTTGAATAAATTGACGAAACATGTGAATCAAACGGTACGGTAATATTTTGAAAACGTCATACGCACTTATACCTAAATATCTACATATTGCATATATAATATTTAAAATTTAATATTTTTCTGATGCAAAAAAAAGAATCGCTTAACCGACGGAACCCGGCCGCGAGCACGTTGTATCATCATCTTACCGACTAGTCCACATCACCTCCTGTCGTTCTTTTCATGTACAAGGCCACATAGTGGGGCCCATTTACATGGGACCCACACTGCTGGGCGGTAACTTTACCGCCAAAAAATGTTCCGTGGCAGGCATCGTAATTAACGATCGAAAGCCCGGCTCTTGGAAACCACTTCGATATTTATACCTAAAATTCGAAATCCCAAATCCCAAATCATCTTTCTTCTTCTCCAGCTTCAGCTCCAGCTCCTTCTCCCATCTCTGAAATCTCAATCTCTTTCAATATGCCTCCGGCGACGAGAAATCTCCAGTCGAGATCCGCCGTCCAGCCTGCCGGTGAGCCCCCCGAGCCGGTTGCGGTGGATTCCGACGTCGTCGTCATCCTCGCGGCGCTTCTCTGCGCTCTGATCTGCGTCGTAGGACTAGCTCTGGTGGCGCGATGTGCCTGGCTTCGCCGATCTCTCGGCGGAGCTTCGGTTAATCCGCCGCCGTCAAATAAGGGGTTGAAGAAGAAGGCTCTGCGGGCTCTCCCGAAGACATCTTTTGATTGCACGGTGGCAGCCAGAGGGCGGCTTGCAGAGTGCCCGATCTGCCTGGCGGAGTTTGTGCAGGGTGATGAGATCCGGATCCTGCCGCAGTGCGGTCATGGATTTCACGTTAGCTGCGTGGATACGTGGCTAGGATCTAACTCTTCTTGTCCTTCCTGCCGCCAGATACTGGTTGTTGCTCCGCGATCGAGGTGCGATCGCTGTGGCGCCAGTGGTGTTTCCGGTGAAGATACGTCGGAGACGGCGGCGGCGGCGGCGAATGAGAACGGGGCTAAGACCAGGGAGGACGGTGACGCCAACAGGTTCTTGCCGTAGTTAGGTTTCTCTTATAATCTATACTTCCCTTCTTTCTCCATGGAAACGAAATGTAATTGTTTTTAATGATTTTGTTTTATGGGGCTTCTACTTGTGGAGTAGAAATTGATGCATCCGGAATCATAGGACTGTAAATGATTTGCAAATTATTTTTCGCAGCTTTGTTTGATCACACCGGATAAGAGCAGTTATATTGCGGGGGTTCTTTTTTTTTTTCTTTCTTAATTTGTGAATACCTAGGAATTTGTTCTATCATGACAATGATAAATTACGTTTATACCCATTGAGCTTATCCTAATCCTACTCTGATATTTGTGGAGCGCAGCAGAAAAGCTCTGTTACCGGGCGACGCTCTATTTATTATTGGGCATTCTGTACCGACCGTCACTTACCCAACATAAATTCAATTATTTTGAAGTTCATTTCATGAAATTCGGATGAAATTTCGAGTCTTTTTGATCTGATTTAGGGGTTAGGGTATATAAATAATAAAATTTAATAATATTAATTGCAAGCAGGGCATTTATTGTAATTAATGGTCAAAACTAAGGCCTGTTTAAACCATCTATCTGCCAATTGCGAAATGCTAAATTTTGTTGAAGTTCCTCCTGCAAGCAAGTATGTAAGCCAAGCACATCACACCATCAAAGCTAACCAGCCTAACAACAAAGGTCAATGTTCATGACAGTATCATTGCAAGGATGATGACAACTTTGGAGTCTTTTATCATCAGCTCATGGGGCTCGAAAGCTGGTGGGCGTCAGATCTTCACTGGAGATATCTCGTTGCTGGAGGCATTATGAAAGAGATTGAGATTTCATGGTTGAGAGAAGATGCTCAAAGATTTACTCATAGTTTCAACCATCAAATATGTTACATACCCTTCTTAGAGGCAATTTTGCTTTCTTTAGAGTTGGATCTCTCAAGAGTGGAAGGGCACCACTTGGTATTGTACCCAACATAAAAAGATTTGAACCAAGGTAATGTGGACTAGTTGGTAAGATGATGGTATAATGTCGTCACATGTCGAGTTTGTCGATTTGTTGTGTCCAATGTCAATCGTCCTGTCTTGCTTTAGAATCTAAGCCATCATGTATATATTATTGAAAATGTTGAAATAGAGTTTACTAACATTTATTTATTTATTTATATATGATTTGAGCCCATTATGATCAAGCATGAACATGTTCGTGTTTCGCTCATTGAAAATATGTGAAACATCATCGACGAGTTTGGTTGTTGCATGCATTAAACCACGTCGTAAAGGTTTCTTGGTGCCAAGGTGAGGTCCGCAAGTGGGGCTGACAAATGGTCTGTGATGGTTGGCATGAAGTCACATTGTTTGGCGGTTCTATGATGCTGCGTCTGAGAAGATGTTGCAAGTGAGCTCACTTTGCTTCATCATGTGATCGCTCCGAGTTTGAGCTAATTTAATTGCAAACACACACATGGCATATGCAAGACTTTAACCTCAAGTTCTCTTGATTGAACAACCAAGTTCTGCTCAACCAACAAATTAAGAGTGTGTTTGGGGCAGCTTGTTTATCCAGATAAGCTGTTTATCTGGAAACGCGTTGCGTTAAAAGTAAAAAATTAACTGTATTTTTAAATGCAGTATTCAAACGGTGAGGCGGTATTTTCAAAACGCGGCCGCAGCGAATAAACTGTCCCAAATGGAGCCTAAGTTGACTTGCATATATTCTCTACTTAGATAATATTTGGTATGAGGAAATGTATAAAAAAATACAATCAATGCCCTCAACATAACATTTTCTGCTTTTTATTTAGAAAAGAGACTAAAAAAAAAAAGCTGTTACGCACATAAATATCGATTAAGATAATTATAATTAAGCTGGCATCAACCAAAAATATAAACATGGAGGACGCAGCCCAATTGAAAGAGAACCAAAGCTATCAATCTGTTTTTGTTTCTAATTGAATAGTAATATTTGAGATCGGTTCATTTTATTTAATTATAAAGAGAAAATATGCCGTTTCTCAATATCAAACGTAATCTTCTTTTTAGACTAAAATGTAACCTAATCCAAAGTTAAAACTGAGTCAATCGGGGAGTAAAACTTCTGCGTTGTTAACAAAATTCCGGATCTCGAAGTATGATAGGAACCTTGAAATAATTTTTTCAAACTGCAATTAAGGATTATATAGAGCTCCGATTTCAATAAATTTACAGTTAAACTGACTGATTCAACGAGATGGATCCAACGTATCAAAATATATCCAATCTGAGTAAAACCAATTCTAGATCAAGCGGTTAAATCATTTTTGGAAGCTTTTTCTATATACGTGGAATGTCAAGTAACTTTCAAATCTGATAAGTTTAGAGTTAAGTCAAGTGTCCTATGAGATAAATCCAACGAACCCGTGATCACTCAATTTTGACATCATTAAGACACTCAAATTTCATTGAATGCGGTCCGATCAAGGGAATCTCTCTGAGACGTACGATGGGGTAGTTCAAATCTTTTCCTTATTTGTATTATTTGTAGAGAGACCTCTCTCAATCTTTATAAATAGAGTTGTACTGCTATCTTGAGGGGAGACCTAAACATTGAGTAAGAAAAAAATCGAAGCTTGGTGAAGTAGCTGAAGTCTAACATTGTTTTTATATCAAAGGCTTGGCGAATGCCTCCCCCTCCTACAGTTGTCGACCACCACCTTTTGATCACTATCAACCACCATCGATTGCCCTCTACCCAATGTAGTGAAGCTCTGTGCAGTGTCAAGACTAGCTTAATTGACCGATTAATGACCTTACGAAGCAACAACGATACCATGGAGTCATGACACAACCTACGAAGCAGTGCATCATTCATAAAGTCATGCCAACCATAGAGACTGTGTACCGAAACTCCAACAACTACATTTAGTTGCAACTTCTCCTTACCGTGGGGCAATGACCTGTTCTGCACACGAACATTATAACTCGAGAAATTATGCAACCCTTTCCCGCTTATGGGACAAGGAGCTTCACGTGTAATCACCAAATCATAATAGAATATTTCAAGTGCGCTAAACCCCGTGATTTTTTTTTCTTTCTAGGTTTTCCACGTCTTTAGAGTTCTATCAGTCACTTTTCTATGTATAAATAATTTATAATGACATTAACTAAAAAGATAAAAAATCATTTGAATTAAAAAAATGATAAAAAAAAATCTATTTTAGTTTTTTTTTTTTCCAAATTAATTTTTGCTATTTGAAGAATGAAATGGTTATAAGCTCATCAAACATATTGCTGTTTTAGGAGAACAATTGTGTGCTTTGAAGTCATTGTGTTAGAATATATATAGTAAAAAGAGCAAGGAGGTTGACCAAATATTAGGCTTCTGGTTGGTCAATAATGGACATGGTCCCCATAGCAAGTAATGCTGATGTTGAGATTCTTGACATGGTTTGGGATTTTATTTTATTTCATTTAGAGTTAATTTTAATTAAATTTTGACAATAACCTTCCAACATCTATAGCTGTCAATCATATTGAATTCAAATTTATTTATGGGAGACATTATTGTCCTAATCAAAGGTAGCACCATTTCAAAGCTAACTTGAGTCATCTCTAACTATAACTAGTGATTATGAGGATGGAGTCGTGTTTTGCTTCAACATATTTCATCAAATAAATATGCTTAGAGCGAATATTTTTGTTATTGATGATGTTGGTTCTTTAACGAATAGATTTGATCGAATTTTGGAGAACATTGTGAGGCCTACGATTATCCTATTTTATATCTTTTTGGCTAGTATTTATTTGTTGGTAGTTCTAGGCTATTAAGCTACGTTTGATTCTCATGTTATTATGTTGAGTTAATACGCTGAGTTGAGGCAGAAGATCGAGTTAAGTTCTAGAGTCGGAACCAACATTAATTTTTTAGGGTGAGAAAATCACTAAATATCTATTCTTTTTAAGTATAATATATCGACTTAAAAAGAAAAAAAAAACTTTACATACATACATACATATACATACATACATATATAATGTAATTACATGTTAGTACGTAATCTAAGAATATTTTACATAAAATTTTGCATCCTATGGTGCTAAAATCCAATTCTAATTTTGAATCTATGAAATAAATATTTATTTGATTATATCAAACTCTTGATTAATATGAATTTGACATAAATAATTAAATTATTACTTGATGAGGTTAATAAAGTATTTATTGAATCTTAAGCACAAGACTAACATCGAAAATAAAATAAGGAATTTCATTTCTGATTGCTAAAAATAAACAAGTGAAGGCAATAGCTTCTTGGTGCCCTGACACTTGTCTGCTGACTCCTATTTATAGGTAGAGTGGAGGCAAAGTTTAATAGGTAAATATGATATTTAAGGAATATAAATAAATTATTAAATATCACCAAATAATGTATTATTATGAAATGAAAATTTTCCTTGTTCCATTATTAAATGTACATTAATAAATTGCCTCCTATAAAAGATTATGATAATTATTGTTATACAAATATATTAGTAGAGAAATAAAAAAAAAAGATGCCATGAAGTATTCTTATTGAAAAGAAAAAAAAAAAGTGGCAAATTAAAAATATAAGAAGAGTACAAAATGCTGTATTCATATTTGTCTTTATAGGATGATGATGAAAGTATGGGTGTAAACGAACTGAATATGAGCGATCAAAGCTCTTGTTCGTGTTTGGTTCTTTTTGAAATTAGATATGCATGAAATAGCCTCATGTTTGAAATTGTTCGTGAAATGGGTTTTCGTGTTCGGTTCGGTTTGTTTGAATTTAATTTGAATTGTTCAAATTGCTCGTCTTCAGTTCGTGTTCGGTTTGAAACGGCTAAAAAAATAAAAAATAATAATAAAAAAATTAATTAATTATTAAAAAAATATCAAGAAAAGGTGGAGCTTAATTCCAGATAATTTAGGATTAAAAATTCTTTTTTATAATAATTTAATAGATTTTACATTTTAAATTTTCCTATCAAATATATCATAAAATTTTACTATAAAATTTTATAATTATATTAATTTTTAATTATTTATTTATTTCGAAACAACACGTACCGAACACGATTGAACAAATTTTCGTTCATATTCGATTCATTTATAATTCAAACTAAAAGACCTTATAGTGTTCGATTTACTTGTTTAACGAACGAATCGAATGCGAACTACTTATCGAGCCGAACACGAGTTGTTTGCGCTGTAAATAAAACAAATGTATTATTAAAAGTTATAGATTCTCCTGCTTTCTTCATGCCAAGAAACTGGTATAATTCTGGTACTTGTTTTTTGCTTTTGTGTAATAGTTTACATTCCTTCATAACTTCAAAGAGTAAATTAGCTGGTGAAGTCCAAAAGTGTTCAAGATTCCTAAGCAATTTTGAGGGCAAAGTTGCTTGAACATGCAATGACTATGATGCTCTTTAATTTACATATTAGATGAATGAAGATATAAAAGGGGCATTTACATACATACCACACAATTCTTAAGTATTTACATTTCAAACTCTTAAACTTTCATATTTACATACATAACACTCTAATATTTAATATCACATCAAAATCACAGCTACAAACTTTTTTAAAAGTAAAGTCTACCTTTTCATGCATATATAGATTTAGGACACCAATGTGTTATAAATTTATATGTCAAACTTTAGGTGCCAAATATATAAATACAAAGGAATTATATGGTATACATGTAAATTTCCTAAAAAATTATGGTATATATGGTCTTCAGATTATTGCATTTACTTTGAGACCAGTGATATATGATAAAATTTATTTAGAACTAATCTAAAAATATATATAATAATTAAATTTCTAACTTAATTTGAAACAATTGACATCCAACACATATTTTTTCCTTAGAACTATCTTTGGTAGAGAGCTTTGCCTATTTTGTTGCCCTCGTATGATAATTATCTTTGATGACTTTTATAATTAGATTGAAAAGATTGTTGGCATCAATTTTTGTTGTCGCGTGTGTAGGGTGTCCACATGACTGGCTTGGGACGATTCACTACTCACTCGTAGCATCTAGTAGCTTAAGACACCCATTTGAGACCTCTGACACGTGTTTGAGGCACGAAATCAGGGTTTGCGATGATTCGATCCCAATCGGAAGAACAAGTAGTTGGACAGACTCATCCAAGACATTA